ACTTTGCTTTCAACCACTTTTGTCGCCTCTTCTATGAGAAGCTCTGTTTTGCATCCAATTAGAGATGACTCGGAAATTCTGCTCATAATCTGTAAACAATAGGTATTTCCAAAAGAAAAAGAAAACATAAATTGAGTGAAAAATAGACTAAATTGGTATTAAATACCGAAAACATATGCTATTATTAACATGCATTGCACTATAGGGGTGCTGTTACTCACGCTAATTGATTTGGCAATTGTTTGGAGAGAAAAATTCCCAGACATGAAGATGTCTTGTATGTAAAGCTCTCGCGGGTCGACCAGAATTGAGTTAATGTTAATCTTATGTGTGAACTGAGAATGTAAGGCAAGAGACCTCCAGTCCCACGAAGAATTGCTGCAAATATTCCGATAATACGTATATTATTCTCATGTGTTAAATAAATTTTCTCAATACTTTACTCATAACTGTTACATTGAAAACTAACTGTTCTTTGAGTGCATACCTATCTATAGGACAGTATAAGAGTTTGGAGACATTGTTTGCGTTGAGCCAAAGCGACCAAATCTGGTCGTTGGCGATGCAAAAGTCAATCAAATCAGCTTCGGGTGCATTGACGACGGCTAAGGGCCTCAACGAGTAGTGATTGCTCTCAAGTATGGGTTGAAATAGAGTGAATTGTCTCTGTTCTCCGCCAGCAATAAATGCCGCCAAATATAGTGTCGAATTGTCTCTCGAAATCCATTTCTTTAATATGACGGGCCGTCGAACTGAGACAACATATTAACGAGTTATTCAAATGCTTAATACATGTGTAATAAGTTATAAAAACATTTCTCTCAATTGTTTTAAGCAAATCGTTAGATTTCGCAATAATTGTGTAAAAGATTTAAATAATTACAAGACATTAAATAAATATGAGAAAAGTAGAGTGTATTATATGATTATACCATTCATATTAGAATATAGCTTCTGTGTGGTGTGGGCTTGCTGTAGTAATGATTGGGACAGTAGGCAATCCTGGCGTTTGATGGACCACATTCTGATCCGCAAATCGCGACACAACGCGAACATCAAGTGGTCGTCTTGTATTGGATGCACAACCAGACTAACCGCCGCCTCATCGCCCTCTTGTGTGCCCCTAATTTCGTGTCAGTTTTCGGACAAATATGTAAAACAATTATAATTATTAATAATTCCAGTACTAAATGCTAATGCAATTAACAAACTATTAATTATAGAGTAAAACGAGTGAATGCGAGTGCAATACCTCATAATGGAGGGTACGATTCCGTTCCACAGGCGGCCTATAATTGTCGTTTGCTTTAATTCATAACTAATTACTTTTCCTGTCGAATAAAACGTGTGAAAATGTGTGAAATATCTACACTTTTTTGTGATTATTATTTTAAGTCAATTCCATTAAAAATGAACGCCTTTTCCACAAAAATTCTTTCGTTAGCTTTCATTCATTGGGTTTAGTGTTCGTCGAGTTCTGGGTTTTCTAATTTGTTTTAAATATATTTTTTTTATCACAGAAATTGACGATTTGAGAGAACTTTCGCTTCAATCATAGGTTTGAAACTAAAAGTTAATTAAAGTGAAGACAAATCCTTCAAATAAAACAGCGTTTTTGGGGCTAAGAATCGCTTATTTGGACAAAATATGCGCCAAAAATGAATCACTCGAAGGAATCTCATGAGAAAAGGCAACAAATTTTCTCAACGATAATAAGCGAACCGAAGAGAAGTGCAAACAATAAGTTTGAGGACATTCGCAGTGGGAGTCCATTATCGCGGCGGCAAATGTCTTATGTCTTAATCCAATATATATGATAAAAACAAAAAATGCTGTAATCAATGATTACCTGAGTGTTCGGGTGCACCCATTTTCACCACAAGAATCGATCCGACATTATTGGCGATTACAAAGACGGCCTCCTTTTGCGGCGTAAGCCATGAGCACGAAGTGGTAGGTATGGGTAGTCCCAGCGACGAGCCATAGGAGGGCAGAACACTGTAATTGTTGGGGTCGTCCAGGTTCTGGGTATACACGTTGTAGAAGATGGAGGGGCGCAACAACTCTATGCCCGTCACCGATGTTAACAAACTCTGCGGCGAACTCCTAGTGCTCTGCAATCATAACATTTAATACATGTATTTAAAGTCTGATCCCACGTCCGAAGCCTTTAATTTAAAATTTCTTTTTGACATAAAATTAAACATTTAATACGAAGACTATTCTTATGAATCATTACATATTTGGTAATAAGAAATACATTTCAAGGAAGTCTTCATTCATTCAAATCATTGTCCAACACTTGCATAATCTTTGGACATTATTCTTAAGGCTTGCATTCATTAACTCCTGAATTGATTAGTGAAAGCATGAGAGAAGAGGTTCACAAGACTTGATGTCTAAATGTCATCAAAGCTTTCAATGCTTTTCATGTGATATAACTTATAATATCCGTTAGTAATAAGAGTAGAGATTTGCCACAAAATGTATTGTCATGTCATGGGATTCAAGAGCTAAAGGAATCTTAATTATGGGAACACTTATAGCACCAGAAAAACAAGACTTTCCCACAGAATCNTTTTCATGTAATATCACTTATAATATCCGTTAGTAATAAGAGTAGAGATTTGCCACAAAATGTATTGTCATGTCATGGGATTCAAGAGCTAAAGGAATCTTAATTATGGGAACACTTATAGCACCAGAAAAACAAGACTTTCCCACAGAATCGCAATTCAAATGAATGGATTGTATGCAGACATCCATTTCAATCATAAGACAACAAATCAAATCTATTGTCGATTTAGACTTATTTGCAAACAAATCAAACAAATCCATCAATCAATGGATCAATTTATTCACTAAATTCTTGGATCAATGTTTGCCAACAAATCCATTAAAAGGGATTCCAATGAATCAAAACCATTAGAGAAAGCAATTTATGAGATAATGAACGCAAAGGTTGTCCTACCGGTGCGATTGATCCCAGTTTTCGGGGATGAGTGAAGATAAAGCGATGAACCGACGAGACGGTGGCCACCAATATATACACCTTATCGATGGTCTCATGAATGCTCACCCCTTCCAACACCGGGTTCTTCTGGAAGTGTAACTTAAGCTGATTTCCCGTCAGATTCATTCCGTTAGTAATAAGAGTAGAGATTTGCCACAAAATGTATTGTCATGTCATGGGATTCAAGAGCTAAAGGAATCTTAATTATGGGAACACTTATAGCACCAGAAAAACAAGACTTTCCCACAGAATCACAATTCAAATGCATTGAAATGAATGGATTGTATGCAGACATCCATTTCCATCATAAGACAACAAATCAAATCTATTGTCGATTTAGACTTATTTGCAAACAAATCAAACAAATCCATCAATCAATGGATCAATTTATTCACTAAATTCTTGGATCAATGTTTGCAAACAAATCCATTAAAAGGGATTCCAATGAATCAAAACCATTAGAGAAAGCAATTTATGAGATAATGAACGCAAAGGTTGTCCTACCGGTGCGATTGATCCCAGTTTTCGGGGGTGAGTGAAGATGAAGCGATGAACCGACGAGACGGTGGCCACCAATATATACACCTTATCGATGGTCTCATGAATGCTCACCCCTTCCAACACCGGGTTCTTCTGGAAGTGTAACTTAAGCTGATTTCCCGTCAGATTCACGTCCATCGAGAGCTCCGTGAGCTCCAGGATATCATTACTGGTTTTCCTATGGGTGGACAACAGACAAGACAATTGGTAGTGAATGACATGGATGTGGTGGACAGGCGTGCACTGATGGGTGCAGTGGTGGACCTACCAGTAGATGAATCTGTTGCAGGTGTTTGTGGTGAAGGCATTGGAGTCGTGGTAAGTGAAGGCACCGGCGCTTTCAGACTGCTTGAAGTCCTGAAGAGTGCTGTTGGCCGCACCTATTGGCACACAAACCACACCAGACATAGACATTACACACTGATATTCACGCAAACACTCCTTTCAACCAATTTATTAGGCATTCAAATGTCCACTCAATTATCAAATCAATTGCAAATCAATTTAAATTTAATTATATTTACATTTAATTTGAATGTAATTTGCAGTCATTTTTAGCGCACATGTGTTGTCGACTTTGAGTACATAAATAATGTGTGCCTTTATTGCCTATTCATGTTAACTGTACGAGCATTCAGTGTGCAGTTAATCGGTTTTATACACAAACACTGGAGTGAGTGGAGTGGCAAACAAATGGAGGGAAAATTTAGATTCAATTCAATTAGTTAGCTTGGTCATATCAATCATACTGTTTACACACATTTGCTGATCATATCTGAAGACATGAGCGCCACTCCCGTCCCCAAGACTACCACCGAAGACATGGACGAGTTTGCGGTGATTCAGAGGCAACTGTTTGTGGATTTGGTGACTTCGCTGAAGAGTAGTGATGTCTCATCGTCTCAGTTATGCCAAACCGTCCACAAGAACCACAGACTCGGCCATAAGATGAGCCATCATTACGTCAAATGTTTTCGTACCATATGTGAGAACAGATTGGATGAGACCCTCAAAGAAGTCAAAGACAACGAAAACTATTTACTCAACAATGGCTTAATGAGTGAATCCATTGATCACATAATTCAGAAACAGATGAAAATCAAAGAAACTAATGAAGCCATCGTTGAGAAGACACGCGATTTGAATGCAATTCAATCGGAAGAAAGTCGTTCACGACTTGTGAGACAAGTGTTGACTGCAGATGAAAATGAAGTCAATTTCGAGACAATTAAAAGTCAATTGAAATTTGATGACCAAAAGAGTTCATTGTAATTAAGTTATGAATAAATAAAGTTTTTTAATCATATATGCATTCATTAATTCATTCAAATGGTGTCCATTTGATAACTCATTTTAATGGTGTAATCATGTAAATGGGTTTCAAATAAATTATAATCATTGCTGATATGAAAACTTTATGAAAGTTTTCACAGTAATTCCGAGCTATTTGTCACCAGAGTATGTGGATCAGTTATATTATACTTGAGGTTACAGTATGTGATTAACACCATTTACATTGATATGATGATAGGGAGGGCCCCACCCATACTGTAAATTGAAACTGACACACAACTGACTAATTAGGGTATCATTAAACTGACCATGCACATATTATGGTTGGTATTGTGTGAAATTTTCTATGATAGGAGGTTGTGAAATGGTAGCAAGGTTTACCACTTAGCCATTAATAATCACTCACTGATTAGTTATTTCTCACAATATTTTTGTTTCTTAATTGAATGAATGCATTAATTTAGTCATTAATGAAATATATGATCAAAATAGCAATTATTGTGTCAATTGATTGCATAGACTGTATGTTTTGATGGATTGAATGAGATGTAGACATAAATCAAACTGAAGTAATAAAACAAATATAACTCTAAAACTGTTTGGTGGGAAAGATGTGAAACGAATTTCTCTTAACATAACTATCGTTTAGATCTAATTTAATTGAAAACACAAAACATTTTCTCAAGTGAATCAATGTATGGCCCACATAATTGTCCACATTTATACCATGCACAAAATATACATAATACAGTAATTACACATTCATTATCTAAACACTATTTAGTGATAAATATTTTTATTACTTCACCACATCCTATATTGTGAGTTACATAACTTGGAAACAAATAATTGAATAAATATTTCAAAATCAATGAATTGTATAGAAATATGATGTCTTCATACGAGTTATGAAATCAATTCTCGTATTCAATACAACAAATCAATTGTGATTTTTTGTGCAAATAATGAAGAGATCAATGATTGACTGGAATATTGTTTTAATGAAGAGCTCATTAATGGGCGCAACGAATGGCTGGATGTAGTCATCGATGTTCCCATAGATAATGGTATTGTATTATATGATTAACACATTATTTGATTTGGTGTCAAAAAGGAAAGTATGACTATCTGTGAGACATTGCCATTGAATTTGGGAATAAGTATTTTTTGCATGGAATTATAAGCCTGAATAGAGGTAATGATTTTTAATATTCATCACATTTTCCCTCGGGATCACAAACTTTGCGCAACAATTGCCTCGTCTTAAGAAGGGTTTGGTTTAACGAACGCATCAAAGAAGTTCACATTTATACCATGCACAAAATATACATAATACAGTAATTACACATTCATTATCTAAACACTATTTAGTGATAAATATTTTTATTACTTCACCACATCCTATATTGTGAGTTACATAACTTGGAAAGAAATAATTGAATAAATATTTCAAAATCAATGAATTGTATAGAAATATGATGTCTTCATACGAGTTATGAAATCAATTCTCGTATTCAATACAACAAATCAATTGAATGTGATTTTGAATGAAGAGATCAATGATTGACTGGAATATTGTTTTAATGAAGAGCTCATTAATGGGCGCAACGAATGGCTGGATGTAGTGATCGATGTTCCCATAGATAATGGTATTGTATTATATGATTAACACATTATTTGATTTGGTGTCAAAAAGGAAAGTATGACTATCTGTGAGACATTGCCATTGAATTTGGGAATAAGTATTTTTTACATTGAATTATAAGCCTGAATAGAGGTAATGATTTTTAATATTCATCACATTTTCCCTCGGGATCACAAACTTTGCGCAACAATTGCCTCGTCTTAAGAAGGGTTTGGTTTAACGAACGCATCAAAGAAGTCACTCAAAGAAGTCACAACTCGTTGGTCTAATCACCGGTTGTGGGTCTGTCTGTGTGTCGAGCATAGGATCAAACACCACAATACATATACTATACGAATATACGGCACTCATTGAACAAAACAGTTCACACACTCTTACAAAACTTTTGCAACAAATATCATAAACTCAAAGAACGGAAAATTTAATGTTTAACTTGAGATTTGAGTATTTGTTGAATCGCTTCTTACCACCGCATCCACCCGTTCCCTGCCGTTCCCCACACACACGGTGTGACTATTCTTGTAATTTAATGTTATGAATGAACGTAAACTTGATTTACTATTCAAGAGAAATCGTTGACATAAAACTTGTCTAATAAAGCTGACGATTAATCTAATTGTTATTTAATTGTTTGTTTTCACCGCAATTTCTCTATTGATTTGTGAATTCATTGAATTAACTATATTTACACAAAACCACACTCGTTTGGACCAATGGACGCATCAAATAATCTTCATTTACTTCAAGTGAGAAAACAATTTATTTTATTTTAAGGAATCCTATAAGTTATATGAATTGTTTCCTAAAAATTATACACAAATTCTATTAATTGTTAAAAATCTGTCACTTTATTGCAAATTGTTAATACTGAATAACATCAATGTTGTAATACTGTACAGTACAGTGAAGTTTTGCTCATTGTAGTCTGCATTATTTGTAATGTGTGCGTAAAGCTTTTACATAACAAACTTAGTAAATTTGATGATTTGAAAGTACATTACTACTGATACAGTATGCCTTTGCCAATGGATTGGGTTTAGAAGATTGATCTAAAAATAGTTTACTACAGTAATCACAAAACAATATCCATTTGTGTTTAAAATAATAACATTGCTTATTCTTCTAAAATATTACTTTTCATTCTGTCATTCATCTACTTTTTATCTCTGTCTTTACATTACATTTACTGAATCTTCACAACATATTATCTATTGATTTCATAATTATTTAAATAACTTTTTAGGTAATATAAAGTTTTCAAATTTTTGTTTATGTTTTTAAAATCTATCATGTTAAAGTTTTCAATTTATCACATCTTAATTTATACGGAGTTCACAAATTCACATTCATTGTTATTACCGAAATGTTAAGAATACAAAAATATGATTAAAGCCTAAAAGCTTTAGAGAAAATAATTGACCCTAAAGTCTATGGCATCTCTACTTTGATGTGATAATCAGTGCATTCTTTTAACACAAACTCTTATATTTGTAAGAAACCGTCGTTTTAGTAGAAATCTTACCAAAAAGTGTTCGCTTTGAGGCCTAACATAATTGCAATCATTTTATAAATGCACAAATATTATATTTTAGATCTTAATACTTTAATGCAATTGGTTTTAACGATTTACACATTTCTAACATTCAATTTAATTATAGTCTTCACAAAAAAATAAAATTCCTTTTTTGATAACTTTTTTAGACCATATTAAAGATATTTAATAACTAAATAACACTAAACACTAAGAATATATTGCATTTTAGAAATATGTCTGGTTTGTTATTATAAAATTATTTTCATAAAAATCTAAAACTTAATAACAATTTTATCGTTTTAAAATTATAAAAACTTTTATGCCAGTTTTGATCCATTCTATAACTTTTAATTCATTTAAACTTATTTCATAACTTTAAGATTTATTAAAATGTGAGCTTAAATGATAAGCAAACAGTAGCCTAAAATGATTTGATAACAAACGTTGGACTTAGAAATATTAATTTTATGAAATATCGTTTCTAATAAGTTTTAATTTTATTCAATTTATTTTTATTTATTTCTTTTCAAAAGTCAATAAAATTTATTTTAGTTTTAACTTAAGGCTTGCACTCAAAGATAAATTTTGACAACAAATATACAGGTGTTATAGAGCTGGACATGTGGTATGGGATGTCACTCTCGAACGTGTGGCCCATAATTGAAAAAGTTTTCATTCAAATTCAATGCATAGAATTCAAGTGATAGAAAGCATAGCAAAAAACTTTTAAATTCTGTAGTCATACCCTTTTGCACATATATTTATGCGATTATATTCTGGAAATAGTAGTCTGAAAAACACTCCCCTCTCCTAACACTTCACAACTCAAAAAGATTTTGCAAAACCACAGCATATAATAAATGCATCAAAAGTTTTTTACGTTTAATGCCTTTTCTCGCAAAGTCTGGGAAAATATTTTGATTCGAGGATTTAGAATAAAAATCAAAAAATAAAAATTAAAAATATTTGATATGAATTAAAAATAAGAAATT